GGGAGGGATCTGTCGGTGCACCTGCAGTTGGGCAGGTGACAGAGGAATTCTGGGAGAAATGGAGCCTTAGAAACACAGCAGCTTCTCTCTGACACGAAGGTTAAAGCCATTGAGAACAGCAAAGATTAGAGGCTCTTTGTACCCATCAGCGTTAAACAAATTAATCTATTGCTGCTCAGCTGACTGTAAAATCTCTAGATTTACGGTTTCAATGCAGCTAAGGCCTAAGCCACAGGGTCAACCTATGCTGCCTTTCCCACAATGTCTAAAACACATATTAGAAAGCCTTTACAAAGTTTTTGTCTGCTTTTTAGGAGTAAGTATATAAAAAGAGCTGTATTAGGGGAGATTCATTTACAAAAAATAAATCAATAAATAAAAAAAAAATAAAAAAATAGCAAACAGACTAAATAATAATTACAATAAATACAATAATTAATAATAACAATTTTGTCATTTACAAACATGGATCAGAAACACGATATTGTTCCATTTGGCATAATTTTAAAATGTGCTGTTTTGCTAGAATAGCATAAAAGCGAGTTACGTTTATTATAAAGTTAGGAGTAAGTATATAAAAAGAGCTGTATTAGGGGAGATTCATTTACAAAAAATAAATCAATAAATAAAAAAAAAATAAAAAAAATAGCAAACAGACTAAATAATAATTACAATAAATACAATAATTAATAATAACAATTTTGTCATTTACAAACATGGATCAGAAACACGATATTGTTCCATTTGGCATAATTTTAAAATGTGCTGTTTTGCTAGAATAGCATAAAAGCGAGTTACGTTTATTATAAAGTTGATTATGCCGTAGTTTATAATTTAATTATTTTATTTATTTATTTATTTCAGTCAATGGATTCTTGGAAAAAGTGTCAAGAGAGCAGAATAAAGGTATAAAGAGGAGCAATGAGCGTTGTGGCCCGGGTCAAATTGTGTCAACTCGAGTTACGCACAGACGAGCGCACTGAAACTGACCCACGTGAGCTCAATCTTTCACGCAATGATATGCTATTCAGAGCTCTTTACTTATTAAAATGCATCCCTAAATTAAAATGAACTAGGTTATTTATTAGTGTTGTTGTTGTTGTACAAACGTCTAATAAAATGCGCAAAATAATAGTGTATCCCTTCAACAAACAAATCTAGTATTTTATATACTAGCCTATTTTAAAACAATTTTTTTCCAGCTAGAAAAAATTTAATAGCCTATACTTTCTTCTTTTCTCACGCTACATGTTATATATTCAAAAGTGACCGAGAAATACCTCTTTCTATTAAGCAATTTTGTTCTTCTTTACAAAAGACATAATTACATAACATTTTAAATTACACAGCAGCGGCGCGTAAAAGTATTTTATAATGTGTAGAGAAACAAAAAGGCAGGAAATATTTATTAGGTTTTTTAAAAGCAACTGGACAAGAGAATAAAGGGAATTTAGTACAGAAGGTGGCAGTAATGCAACACTATGGATGGCAACTGCCGTAAAACGCCAATGAAGAAGAAGAAGAAGAAGAAGAAGAAGAAGAAGAGGCGCGTTGGCGTGACGTCACATGTGTGCGCCAAGATTCGTTTGTCAGTCAGAGAAGCCGCTTGCTTTAATGTTTCTAGTTTTATTTATTCATTCCGAGGGCAAATTTTGTGTTTATGACCCAGATTATTTGTCTTGAAATTACCTGACTGATATCATTTTCTTCGTCCTTGACGTCGGTTCCGTACGACCCCAGTGTAAGTAGCTTCGGTCAGTTTGGTGTTTGTTAGTTCAAATCTGAAGGACCATACTCTATCAAAACGTTAATAATGGAGTAAATGGTTTTGAGTAAGTATTTTATGCTTTGTATATGGTGTATTCTGTCTGTTTGGTTTCACCAATTGTGTGCGCATTTCATTTGTTCTCATTACCGGCCAAAAGCTTGGAATGATTAAGGTTTTTGAAATGTTTTTGAAAATAGTTTCTTATGTTAATAAAGTCTGCATTCTCAATTGTAATATAGTCTTAATGTAATTTATTCCTGTAATGTAACGCATCATGTGATACTGAAGACTGGAGTAAGTTCAGCTTTGCATCACAATAATAAATTACATTTAAAAATATATTCAAATAGAAAACAGTAGCCTAATATTTCACAACCTTGTTGACCAGAAGAGACCTCTTTCAAGAACGTAAAAAAAAAATCTTATTTTAAACTTTTATTTTAATCTGGGGTGGACTCAAAAATGACAGACACTGTGTAATGTTCATGACACTCTCTTTTAGGATGTCTCTAGGTTTTCTGAGGTTTGTTTGGAGTCGGGCACTAAGTCCCAGTCCTCTTCGACCCATCAGCCGGGTCATCTCACGCCTGGCAAGGAGCCCATCAACCCTCAGGCCAGCATGTTCTTGCCATATTGTCTCGCCCTGGCTATGTACGTACTTCTCCACAGACACTGAGAGCGGGAGCACCAGTGTGACAGATTTCCAGAAGAAAACTAAAAAGCTGGACCCAAGAGCACAAGTCACTTTTGGCAACGTGGGTAGGAAGATTGGTCAGCGCCATATACAGTTATTGGGTGAGGATGGAGAGGAATTGGGCAAAATGCACCGTGCTGATGCGATACGACTGATGGACGAAACGGGGCTGAGGCTTGTTGCCATAAGTGACGATTGTGATCCTCCATTATACAGACTGATGAAAGGGAAACAGATCCACGAAGAGCAGATAAAACTTAGAGACACAAAGAAAGCCAAGAAAGGTGCGTTTGTCCAAAAAAAAAAAAAAGCTGAATATATGATCAAAGCTGCAATATTGCAGTCATACTACAGTGATAATCAGACTCGAATATCCAACAGTTCTCCCAATATTTTTTTTAAATACTACTTTAAGTGACAGTTGACCCAAAAATGTACATCATTTTAAATGTTTGGGTTAGCTATTTTGTCTTGAAAGTGTATGATTTCTGTTTCTCTAGCTCCTTATTTGTGCTTCATTGAAGAAACTTTTTGTTGCATCTGCAGGGCCTGTTCAATCAAAGGAGCTCATTTTTTCTTCCGATATCTCCCTTCATGACTTGAACACTAAACTGCGGCAAGTTGTCAGCTGGCTGGAAAAAAACAACCATGTCAGACTCACCATCAGAGGCTTCAGAGCAGGAACTGACGGTGGCACACCACTGGTATGGAAACAGAATATGCATTTGTTTAGTAATTCAGTGCATTTTTCAATTGCACATCAGCCGTCTATGTTTGTGTTGTTTAAAGTGAATAGTGTTTCACTGTGCACAAAGAAAGCTTCGAGTTGAAGGAATGTCCCAGAATCAAAAGAAGATTAATGACAAATATTTTGTCTCTGAGAATGAATATAGTAATAACTTGTCTGCCAGAGAAACTAACCAATGAGGAACAGTGTGTGCAATTTATAAGAGCCCACAGCAATGGCCAGTTTTGGCAGTTTATTCCACTACAGAAGAACAGAGAATGTTTAGATTCTGGAAAGTGACTTTCTGCCTTCTATGCTTTGCATTACCAGCCAATATATGCAGCTCTTAATTTCATAGCATTTATATACATCTTCCATACAAAAAAATGTATGGAATCGAATCGAACCCACGACCTTTTGCGCTGCTAACGCAATGCTCTACCACTGAGCCACACTATATTGAGTACTTACGGAATCATTGTAGAATTACTTTCTAATTGCATTATTTTTTTTTTGTTGCTCTTAATATGTCATAGATGCTCTCGATAGAACTTAACTTATATTGTCCCTGAAACATTCCTTGAAAAGTAGGGTGCAATCAATCCTTAAATACTGGAAATATTATAGGTCCCATATTGTCAAAACGGAAATTTCCTGGCTTTTTTCCATGATAACTGAGGTCTAGGGGCTATTTAACTACCATATAAGTTTCAAAACAGTCAGTCCACAGTAAAATGCACACAGCCTGCATAAAGTAACTGTGATTTTTCACGAACCGTTGTGACATTTCCGTAAGAAGTTGACGTCAGAACTGCAGTCACCACCCTGAGCACCGCCCACCGTCCCGCTCTCCTTTTGCCAAACCCCCAGACAACATCGCGTCCATGCTATTGCTGAGCAACAACATGGAAACATGTCGAAAAGGTTAACTTTAACCACGAAACCAGATTGGCCGGCCTGTAACGTTAAACATGTACAGTAAATGAACTGAAGGTAAATCTTTCCAGAAGGCCAACAATTCACTAAAAATGTTTTTATTGGTCTTAAAAAGTATTCTAATTTGTTGAGATTTGAACTATTTTTACAGCTACATTATTGTCCCAGCCACAATGAATCACAACAATGTATATACAATTACAAATGATTATATATAAATCGTCAGTTTGTTGTTTTACACACATGCACACAGACATTATTTCATACACGACATAGTCGTGAGATGCAAGAAACATAAGACATATGGCAAAAAATCTGTAGACGAGCCCTTAACAACAAAAGACAATACTTTATTGAACTTTTTCTGATAAGAAGTGTGTGCTGCAAATGCGAGCATTTTTGACTATCGTTTCTGTCCAGTCCGCTCGTTTTATCGCATTTAACCACAGCTGTCGTCTGTTTTTTGTCTGGCAGTGGCAGCAGATATGTGATCAAATTTCTAATTTGAGGCTGTAATACGTCGATTCAGGCACCCAACATCATAAGATGATATTTTAAGCTCATGTAGCCGAATCTGCGCTGGTTTGAATGGGCCACCTCCAGTTTCCCCTTTGTTTTGCTGCCTCCAGCTAGCACTGTGACGGCGGTTGACCCTAATTACCTGTGGTTGGCCTGGCGTCACTCAGAAAACAACAGGCCAATCAGAAGAGAGGCTGATATATTAATTAGACAGGCCAAAATCAACCTGTTCTCAGCAGAGCTCCTGAGAGAGGAGCTGTAAAAATATATTGAGATGGTTTTTGGTACTTACACCGCAAATATATATTCTTAAGGACATCAAGACTTAAAATAACACTCCAGAAAGGTGTAAAATACACAGTTTACACTGTTTATTTACACACAAATTCATTTTATATATGTACAACCGACACAACAACTGCATTTACTATTAAATTAACCGTGCAGTGCTGCTTTGAAAATGGACACAGGTACAATCTACTACCTAGTAGATTTGAGGATTTTCTTTTTTTCCCCCTTCTAAACAGGACAAAGTCTTAACCCAGATGGTGGAGAGGATATCAGTGCCTGTTGGCTTTGTATCAAAACCTTCTGTGGTTCGTGGGGGTCGTGCTGCCATGTGTGTCCTTCGGCTTGCTTCTGCTAAAGAACTGCAGAAAAAAGGAGCAGAGACTTCGAACAAGAATTTAAAACCCGACTCAGAGACACCAGCATCTCTTCGTAACTCCTCTACAGAGGACTCAAAAGACTTGAAGCAACAATAAAATTCTATGCAAATTTCAATACAAAAGTGTATTTTTTCTGCAGTGGCATATTTACTTTGGAACAAGTTGTGCTTTAGAAAGTTACTTGGGTTCACCGGAATATGACTCATGATCACTGGACTCTACACTAACAGCGGTTCTAAAAGGTGAACCACTGGATTTGCAGGGTCATTGAGTTCAGAATAAATGGATTTTGTTTGGCTGACAATGCTCTCTGATTTAATGGGCTCAGATTCAGAACTATGGGAGGTTTCTGGGAAGTCTGGTTTTGCTATTTTACAACTTTCAGAGCTGAAACAATGCAACTGACCAATTAATTGAGGATTCAAAGTAGTTTCTGATTGGTTATTTTGTGGCACTGAAGATGCACCTGAATTTGAAGTTTTTGTTTGACGTTTGTTTTTTGGTTTGTGGCCACTCAGACGGGATGCCAGGGAGCGTTTTGGGCGGGGTTTCAGCTGAAAGAGACAAGGTCAGTTATTTTCAAATTTAAAACATTTTAAACACCTATAGTTTGATATTTCATCAACCTCTGATTCAGCCGATCAGTTGTACTGCAAGTAGTTACCTGTTTTTTTTCAGGATCATGAACCACACCATGGCGCAGTAAACTTTGCTGCAGCAAAAAAAAACAAAAAAAAATTATTTTGTATCCCAGATTTCCCCAAATCTTTCTAAGAGTAGTAAGACAACTCAAATTGGCCAGCTTGCTGATCTAACAATAATAAAATCAGATTGGTACAGTAAGAAACATGCAGTCAAGCCAGTCACATTTTACCATGACTGAAAAAGGCTGCCCCGAAATGACTTGATACATATTAATTCATTTCATAATAAAAATTGACAGTGAAAAATGTTTAGAATGTAGATTAAGCCATTTCACTGTGTATGAAGTTTGAAAAAAAATGTAATGCTCCCTTGAACACCAACAAAAAACAGTGCTTAATGGGAGCAACACTAGACTGTAATTCTGTTGTGACACCACATAAAGTCTTTTTTCTCGACAAAACATGTTTCCGAACTAGTTTTTCGCAACATTAGAATTATAGAATTTTTGCACCAAAATTTAAATGACAAAAGAACACTTTTCATAAATTTGGAAGTTGTATCTGAATTTTATCAATAATTTTCATTTGCTAACAATTTATGCATTAAGCATTTTAATTAATTGATTTATTTATTTTGCAAAAAAAATCCTTGGATGGAAATGCAGTAAATGAAGCAGAACTCAGATGATGGGAAACCACTGCTACCTTCATTGCAAAGGACTTGCCACAGCCAGGGTGAGTGCAGATGAAGGAGCGCTGCTCTTCATGGAAAGACAGTATGTGGCTCTGCAGGTTGAACGCAGTGGTGTACGAGCGGGTACATCCATCTCTGGGGCAGTGGAACACCATGCGCTCTTCAGAGTGAACATGCTGATGCTGCTTCAGGAACCAGCTATCCCTGAATGTTTTCTTACACTGATCACACTGTACCCTGACTGAACACAAAACAATTACAAAAGTAATATTTTGTATCTTTCAGTAAAGTTAGGCTATTTACATTCAGAACAAAACACAGGATTACCAATATGAACTTTTTTGTGGTTTGTCATCTCTGTCCAGTTCTTTCCCACAAATGAGCAGCCCTCCACAGTGCAAGAATAGCCTGCAAAGTTATGACGGTATGTTAGGCTTTTCACATGAAAAGTAGGGTGATAAGCATCGAATGGCTTACTGAGCCAGAAAAAAAAAAAGAACATAACCTTGTGTTTCAGCATCAGTCTCACAAAGCTATTGTATGGGAGCAGGAGACTATATTTTTCAAAACTGTGCAAAACTTTTAATTTATTAGCTGCTATAGGTAAACGACAAGAAAAATAAAGTGCTGTAAATGGTACAACTATTTGTGCCACAACCTAGCACACGAGCAGAAGATTAAAAAATATATCATTTTCATTCTATAGAAAAACAGTAGCCAGAGTTTTCTTTTTAAAATTGATCTCGAGTTTTAAAGGGGAAAAAAAGGCATACGTCCAGTTCTTTCCCACAAATGAGCAGCCCTCCACAGTGCAAGAATAGCCTGCAAAGTTATGACGGTATGTTAGGCTTTTCACATGAAAAGTAGGGTGATAAGCATCGAATGGCTTACTGAGCCAGAAAAAAAAGAAAGAACATAACCTTGTGTTTCAGCATCAGTCTCACAAAGCTATTGTATGGGAGCAGGAGACTATATTTTTCAAAACTGTGCAAAACTTTTAATTTATTAGCTGCTATAGGTAAACGACAAGAAAAATAAAGTGCTGTAAATGGTACAACTATTTGTGCCACAACCTAGCACACGAGCAGAAGATTAAAAAATATATCATTTTCATTCTATAGAAAAACAGTAGCCAGAGTTTTCTTTTTAAAATTGATCTCGAGTTTTAAAGGGGAAAAAAAGGCATACAGGTTTGGAATGAACAACTGATCCATTCCTTTATGAACAACAGAACAAGCAGAGGACATACCTTTGTGTACCTTCTCATGACGCTTCAGTTTACCATGTTGTGAAAACCGTCTCCCACAGCCTTCATGTGAACACCTGATGATCAGAGCCATTGCAGTATTAACAGAACATCAAATGACACCACAGTTCTAAGTGTTATATTATGCTAGTTTACTGAAAGAGTTAATGACAAAATAAAGAGACAGGATGAAAGAGTGTAAAAGTCTTACAAGAACGGTAGCAGCTGGGTGTGTGCACACTCATGGCTTTTCAGTTGGTTATTTTTCTTGAATGCTTTGCCACATCCTTCAAACGTGCACTAGAAAACACATTATTAGAAATAGGAAGACAACACCAACAAAAATCATATATTATGTACCTACAGCCCTTAAAGGGGTCCTACTATGCTCTTTTATGAAGTCTTGATTTTGTTTTGGTGGGGGGATTAGTAGAACAGGCTCTCATACTTGGTTGTTCGAAAAACACATTATTTTTCACATATTTTACATTATTACAACACCCCTCTCCCCAGTCTGGCATGAACGACTTGAATAGTTCCAGTATCAAATGAAGGGCCGCCTTCTAAAATACGACATGTGCTGTGATTGGTTAGCTGGGCCAGTGTGTGTTGTGATTGGCAGCACTCAGCGCCTGGTCGGGAAATGTCATGCCCCTTACCATAGAGCTTCTGTGTAAATATTGCGTCAATATCAAATCAATTTGAGTGCGATTTAAAGGTCCCATACTGTCAAAACTGAAATTTCCTGGCTTTTTTCCATGATTACTGATCATGGGCTATTTAACTACCATATAAGTTTCAAAACAGTCAGTCCACAGTCAAATGCACACAGCCTGCTTAAAGTTCTAGCTATTTTTCACGAACCGTTGTGACTTCCGTAAAAAGTTGACGTCAGAACTAGTCACCACCCTGAGCACCACCCCACTCTCCTTTTGCCAAACCCCCAGACAACATCGCGTCCATGCTTTTGCTGAGCAACAACATGGAAACATGTCGAAAAGGTTAACTTTAACCACGAAACTAGATTGGCCGACCTGTAACGTTACACTCTCACTCAAAGGATGGACGATCGGACAGGATTGTTACTGTGAGGTGGATCGCATCTAAGGTGTATAGTAAAGACAAACTCACCGTGTCTATCTAGTCATGATGAAGATGTATATACATTTCAATTTCAGCAGGCAACTATTTTTACAGCTACATTATTGTTCCAGCCACAATTAATCACAACAATGTATATACAATTACAAATTATTATATATAAATCGTCAGTTTGTTGTTTTACACACATGCACACAGACATTATTTCATACACGACATTAGTCGTGAGATGCAAGAAACAGACATATGGCAAAAAATCTGTGCCCATAACAACAAAATACAATACTTTATTGAACCTTTTCTGATAAGTGTGCGCTGCAAACGCAAGCATTTTTGACTATCGTTTCTGTCCAGTCCGCTCGTTTTATCGCGTTTAACCACAGCTGTCATGCTTGTCATGTCTGGCAGTGGCAGCAGATATGCGATCAAATGTCTAATTTGAGGATACATTACATCGATTCTGGCACCCAACAAGATGATATTTTAAGCTCCTCATGTAGCCGAATCTGCGCTGGTTTGAATGGGCCTAGTTACCTGTGGTTGGCCTGGCCGTGCGTCACTCAGAAAACAACAGGCCAATCAAAAGAGAGGCTGATGAATATTAATTAGACAGGCCAAAATCGACCTGTTCTCAGTAGAGCTCCTGAGAAAGGAGTTATATATATATATATATATACAGTGGGTACGGAAAGTATTCAGACCCCCTTACATTTTTCACTCTTTGTTATATTGCAGCCATTTGCTAATTTGCTATAAGTTAATTTTTGTTCCTCAATGTACACACAGCACCCCATATTACAGAAAAACACAGAATTGTTGACATTTTTGCAGATTTATTAAAAAAGAAAAACTGAAATATCACATGGTCCTAAGTATTCAGACCCTTTGCTCAGTATTTAGTAGAAGCACCCTTTTGATCTAATACAGCCATGAGTCTTTTTGGGAAAGATACAACAAGTTTTTCACACCTGGATTTGGGGATCCTCTGCCATTCCTCCTTGCAGATCCTCTCCAGTTCTGTCAGGTTGGATGGTAAACGTTGGTGGACAGCCATTTTTAGGTCTCTCCAGAGATGCTCAATTGGGTTTAAGTCAGGGCTCTGGCTGGGCCATTCAAGAACAGTCACAGAGTTGTTGTGAAGCCACTCCTTCGTTATTTTAGCAGAGTGATTAGGGTCATTGTATTGTTGGAAGGTAAACCTTCGGCCCAATCTGAGGTCCTGAGCACTCTGGAGAAAGTTTTCGTCCAGGATATCCCTGTACAAATTCATCGTTCCCTCGATTGCAACCAGTCGTCCTGTCCCTGCAGCTGAAAAACACCCCCACAGCATGATGCTGCCACCACCATGCTTCACTGTTGGGACTGTATTGGACAGGTGATGAGCAGTGCCTGGTTTTCTCCACACATACCGCTTAGAATTAAGGCCAAAAAGTTCTATCTGGGTCTCATCAGACCAGAGAATCTTATTCAGGTGTTTTTTAGCAAACTCCATGCGGGCTTTCATGTGTCTTGCACTAAGGAGAGGCTTCCGTCGGGCCACTCTGCCATAAAGCCCCGACTGGTGGAGGGCTGCAGTGATGGTTGACTTTCTACAACTTTCTCCCATCTCCCGACTGCATCTCTGGAGCTCAGCCACAGTGATCTTTGGGTTCTTCTTTACCTCTCTCACCAAGGCTCTTCGCCCCCGATAGCTCAGTTTGGCCGGACAGCCAGCTCTAGGAAGGGTTCTGGTCATCCCAAACATCTTCCATTTAAGGAATGGAGGCCACTGTGCTCTTGGGAACCTTAAGTGCAGCAGAATTTTTTTTGTAACCTTGGCCAGATCTGTGCCTTGCCACAATTCTGTCTCTGAGCTCTTCAGGCAGTTCCTTTGACCTCATGATTCTCATTTGCTCTGACATGCACTGTGAGCTGTAAGGTCTTATATAGACAGGTGTGTGGCTTTCCTAATAAAGTCCAATCAGTATAATCAAACACAGCTGGACTCAAATGAAGGTGTAGAACCATCTCAAGGATGATCAGAAGAAATGGACAGCACCTGAGTTAAATATACGAGTGTCACAGCAAAGGGTCTGAATACTTAGGACCATGTGATATCTCAGTTTTTCTTTTTTAATAAATCTGCAAAAATGTCAACAATTCTGTGTTTTTCTGTCAAAATGGGGTGCTGTGTGTACATTGATGAGTACATTTTTTTTAACTTAAATGATTTTAGCAAATGGCTGCAATATAACAAAGAGTGAAACATTTAAGGGGGTCTGAATACTTTCCGTACCCACTCTGTGTATATATATATATATATATATAATTGCGATGGTTTTTGGTACTTATACCGCAAATATATATTCTTAAGGACATCAAAACCTAAAATAAAACTCCAGAAAGGTGTACAATATGGGACCTTTAAACCCGGATGATTGCAATCACTCTAAGTTCGTCTGCCTTGGGAAAGCTAGCATGTCTCCGACATAGTGATAACACTCGTTGCCTTCTCTAGTGCAGCTCAACCAGGTCTCGTCCCATTCGTCGGCATTTGTGATATCACAAATCCCGGAAAACATGCGTTGTAGTCCAAACGAGTCGTTCGTTGTAGTTTTTGAAAAGTGATTTCTGTTCAATAAAATATCTCCTTTTGAATGGGACTTTGAGCTTTGTAACTTTGCAGATCTTTTTTTATGCTCAAACAGCAACATTACAGATTAACTAATGTTGAAAAAGCATAATAGGTCCCCTTTAATATTACATTACATCATGGTACTGAATGATATTTACATCCTCAATAATAAGGATGGGCCGCAGAACTGTCACTTGCTTGCTTCCGCTATTAGATTTAGTGATCGTGTGTTTTTAGGCCTTGTGAATATATTGTTGTTTCAGTCAGTATGGTTTTGCGTTGTATGCCACTCTTTTCCAGCAAAAGTGTTTATAGCTGAAAATAACCCTCACTTAAATTTGCGGTGTATAATCCAAATTTTATAAAAGTCCTCAAAAATACCATGTTACTTTTTTGTGCGTTTATATTTACTTACAATGTACTGTTTTGTCTCTTGTCTATGAATACGTGAAATGTGTTTCTTCAAGTTGGAGTTTGTGGTGAATCCTTCATTGCATCCGTCCTCCGTGCATCTGTTAACACAGCAGGAGCAAATGAGTTTACTATGCTATTAAACTAAAACGTATACAAAACAACAAACAAACAAAAACTCACTTGTAAGGTCTGTCGCCGGTATGTGTCAGCGTATGACGAGCAAGATGATATTTCGTGCAGAACGATTTGCTGCACAAGTTCTTCTCGCACTTAAATGGCCTCTGCAATCAAACAATAAATAAGCTTCTACTTCGTTTGAACTATGACAAATGTCATTTCGTTTACATGACTATATTCTCATTTAAAATGGCTTTCAGAACGTGCCATACATGCACAAATACAACTGAAACGTTTAATTTAAACGAAACATATTCATACAGTCTTTGCTGAACATGTTGGCCCCGCGCTTAACGTACCTCCCCTGTATGTTTGCAGAGATGCGCTTCTAGCTTCCATGCTTTGTTGTACGACGCCTGACAGTCAGGAAACGAACAAATAAATATTGCGCTGGGTTTAACGTTAGTTTCATGCATTGTCATACGTTCAGCTACAAGGCATGGAGCTACCTCGTGTGCACCTTCATTTTGCTAGCCTACGAAACATCTGACGTCACTCACAACGTACGTCTTCTTCTTCTTCTTCTTTTATTCCTCATCAACTCTCTCTGAACCTCATACCTGCTGCACCTCAAGACCACATGCTCCACTGACTCTTCTTCCTGGCAAACCTCACACAATCCAGTATCATGTTTCCCTATTAACTTGAGTGTTTTATTTAATAAACAATGTCCCAATCTTAACCTAGATATGACTGTTTCCTCTCTGCGATTTCCACTACCAATCACTGAACATTTAACATCCCTCTGGATTTGATATAAATGCCTTCCTTTCCCCTCTCTATCCCACCTCTCTTGCCACATTTGATTTATTGTCTTCCATATCACACTTTTAACCTCTGCTTTACAACGTACGTCAACACTAGGATGACCTCCTGTATGGAACGCCGGTGAGGTCAAAAGCTTAAAAATGCATGAAAAACGAATGCTTTTCATGATAGTTGTCTAGTTTTATGGTGTTATATAATTAACATTAAATTTATATAAATACATGTTAAAAATGTTTTATGTATATTTCATAGTTTTAATTTTAATAATGCATAACGGCTAATCATAATACTTTGTCCATCATGTATTCTGATGACCAAAGTTTCCTATTGGCATTCTTTTCCAGCGGTAGATCAAGTACAATAGAGAGTTACAAGTACAAAAATAAATAAATAAATAATATATTTTTTAACATAAATAAATAAATAAAGAATGCTGCATCGGGTGTTCTTATGAGTTTGAGAGGTGTTGCACACAAAAAATATAGCATATGAATGTGTGCTTGCAGAGATGGAGTTTAATTGGACTAAATGCAGGGGAAGTACTGCATACATAAGCAGAGAGAAGTCTGACATTTTCACTGAAGATGGTATTTTTGTTAAACATTACAAGGTATGTAGGTAGGTAAATAAATAAATATGTAGGTAGGTAATATAATGTATATATTACTTGACTACTATATATGACTACTTTTTGATAACTTTTGAGGTAACTTGTTTATCACATTGATTTAACTAGGATAATCTTGCACTGTATTGATATAAAAATACAAAGAGAAAGAAAATATATTACATTTGTTGTTATTAACGACATAAAGTGCGTTAAACATTACATTACATTAAGGTTTCCAAAAATGGGGTTAATGAAGGAACTGCTAACAATTAATTAAATCATAAAAATGTCAAATTAAATAAATATTTTATTTGTCAAATTAATTATAGGTATAGGACACTGGAAAATGGGCAATTAAATGTTTTAGTAATGAAAATTATCCACATTAAAAAATTGTGAGCTCAAACTTGATTTTTACGCATATTTTGAAGTTATTGTACCCTGCCTTTGCATCGTCTAGAAAAAGTGAGAAGTCACACCAAGACAAAAGGCAGTAACTTCCACATTATCAATATTTGGCTGCTGATCACCATTTACAAAATCATTTGTAACACCTGTATAAAATCTAGTGATCATGGACTGTCTTATAGGCTATTACATATAATAATGTGACTGTATTAATTGTTTTTTGACCGTAACAAGCAGACAAAAAGTTAAACATGTGAGTGATACCATTTTGCAACCAATTTATTTGCAATGCTCAGTAACATAGAAGGATGCTAGACATAGCATAATTGTTTTGTATTGACTTGAATGAAAATAGCCTAACCTAACTGAACAACTTGTGGATTGATATGAACGCCAGCAAGCAGGAATTATGCTAAGAATGCTTGTGGGCTAAACATCTCCGATGATGTTCATCGCCATGTATTGATTTGATCAGGTTACAAGAAAAGGTAGGATATGTATTTAATTGCGAACTGTTAGTACTGATTTATGATTGGTCATGCTACATGCTACGCTACACCTCCTCCACTGTGAAGGGGGATCCACTCACTCACCCGCGTAAAAATCCCATGTCATATTTACAACAACCATATTTCATAACTGCTTCACCACAGCAAGTGGGAGCTGTTAAGAACAAAAAGAAGAAACAGAAGAAAAGCACATAAACATTTGAAATGGGTCATTATTATGGCAGCAACAGACATGCAATACAATTTTACAATATGTATTACAGGTGCATCTCAATAAATTAGAATGTCGTGGAAAAGTTCATTTCAGTAATTCAACTCAAATTGTGAAACTCGTGTATTAAATAAATTCAATGCACACAGACTGAAGTAGTTTAAGTCTTTGGTTCTTTTAATTGTGATGATTTTGGCTCACGTTTAACAAAAACCCACCAATTCACTATCTCAACAAATTAGAATACTTCATAAGACCAATAAAAAAAACATTTTTAGTGAATTGTTGGCCTTCTGGAAAGTATGTTCATTTACTGTACATGTACTCAATACTTGGTAGGGGCTCCTTTTGCTTTAATTACTGCCTCAATTCGGCGTGGCATGGAGGTGATCAGTTTGTGGCACTGCTGAGGTGCTGTTACATACATAAAAATATAAGCCAAGCAGCTTTATGTTGCATTAACTTATTTCTGCTAATCTCCACATTTTCAATGGACGTCTGTAAAAATATATGTACATGGCACATCAGTGATAAAACTCATTGATTCAGATGGTGATTTATTCACAGCTGAGAAGCGAGTTCTGTAATCCGAAGAACCGTAATCGGTTACTAACGTAACTTCAGTTCCCTGAGATACGGGAACAAGTACTGCGTCTTGCTTAGACGGATATGGGAAAAAAGCCTTTTTGAAACTGCACGGCCAGTGGTTTGTGCAGTGTATTAAAAAGTGTACGAACCAATGATTCGGCAGTGGAGCTGCATGAGCCTATGGCGACGAAACCCGCCAAAGCCTGCCAGAATGGGCGGGGCATCTGGCTATATAAGCGGTTGCTCGCCACAGGATTCTCAGGTTACTTCGACTGAAGCGATGACTGAGTCATGCAGCTACATAGCACGGCAAGCAACGCAGTACTCGTTCCCGTATCTCAGGGAACCGAGGTTACGCTAGTAACCGAGTACGTTCCCTTTCGATACTTCACTCGTACTGCGTCTTGCTTTGACGCATATGGGAACATAGTACAATCACGCTGTGCTAATGTAGTGGAATGACTAAAGGTATAAACTTCCATAAGCAACCAATGCTCACAGAGAAGTCAACAATAACCCAAGGCTAAGACGGGCTGAGCTTCCTATGTCACACCCAGCCTGGTTAATCGTTCCAGAGTTCTCCAGTGATACGGCCAAGGGCTCTCAGCCAGATCTGTTTATGCAGCGCATGTCACTTTAAGTGGAAAGGACCCTGGCCTGCAAGGCCGGGACTTCCAGGTTATAAAACCTTGCGAATGTGGATGGCGAGGCCCAGCCGGCCGCCTCACAAATATCCACAATGGACACACCACTGGACCATGACCAAGACGAGGCGATGCTTCTAGTCGAGTGGGCCCATACTCCAATGGGGCATTGGAGGTCCAAAGAAGAGTACGCTAGCGAGATGGAGTCTACTATCCATCTAGAGAGTCTTTGCTTCGTAACCGGAAGCACTTTGGTGCGGTTATCGAAGCTGACAAAGAGTTGTTCTGATCGCCTATAGGGAGCGGAACGCTCAATATAGATTCTCAGAGCTCTGACGGGGCAGAGCAGAGATAGCTCTCTGTCCTCTTCAGTTGGAGGAAGCGCGGAGAGCCTAATGACCTGTGCTCTGAATGGAGTGGAGAGCACTTTAGGTACGTAACCGTGCCTTGGTTTCAGGATGACTTTAGAGCCATTAGGCCCGAATTCCAGGCAGGCAGGGCTAATAGAGAGAGGTGCTGGTGGCAGATCCCCTATTCGCTTTACTGATGCCAGTGCTAGAAGCAGAGCAGTCTTCAGTGATAGCGACCTAATGTTGGCAGACTGTAGCGGCTCGAAAGCGGGGCCCTTCAGGGCCCTCAGCACAGTGGGTGGGTCCCATAAAGGGAAGGTAGGGGGACGAGGCGGGTTCAACCTCCTAGCACCCCTCAGGAAGCGGATGACCGCGCTATTTCTGCCCACCGATTGACCCTCAAGGGGCATGAGAGGCCGCTATAGCCGCCACATAGACTTTGAGCGTGGATGGGGAACGTCCCTTATCCAGCAGCTCTTGTAGAAATGACAACACCTCTGCCAAATCGTAAGTAAGAGGGTCTTTGAGACGGTTTAGACACCAAGCGGAGAAAAAAGACCACTTTAAGGCGTAGAGGCATCTCGTAGACGGAGCTCTAGCCTCCGAAATTGTGTTTAAGACTCGCTCTGGGAGGCACGAAGGCTCCCGTCGAGCGGCCAGAGGTGCAGGGCCCATAAGTCGGACCGAGGATGCCATAATGTCCTGTTCACTTGAGAGAGGAGATCCTGTCTCAGTGGAACAGGCCAAGGGGCCGCTATCAATAGCTGAGTTAGCTCCGATAGCCATAGCTGGTTCATCCAAAGGGGGGCCACCAGGAGAACCCTGTGTTTTCGTTCCCTCACTCGCCCGATTACCTGTGGTATCAGAGCGATCGGGGGAAAAGCATAAAGAAGGAGGTTGGGACAATCGTGGGCCAACGCGTCCCTGGTCTTTGAGAAATAGATTGGGCAGTGAGAGTTTTCTAGGAGGAGAAGAGGTCCACCTCGGCCTCGCCGAAGATCTCCCAGATCCTCTGAACCGTCTGCGGATGGAGCGCCCACTCCCCTGAGGGGAGCTTGCTCCTTGATAACATATCCGCTCCTTGGTTCAATTTGTCCGGTATATGCGCTGCTCTCAGAAAATGGCAAAAAAAAATCACAGACTAACCCCTGTAAATGTTGAAAATAGCTTACGTCCTCATGAGAAACAGGGTCACCATCCGATTTAGGCTGATAACTGAAAACAGAACTGTGGTGAGGGGGGCGTGGTTCAGCGAAGTCTGCAGCAGGAGAGAGGGGCGGGAGACGAGCGGTGAGTAAGTAGGTGAAGTGCAACATGATGAACACCTGTGTCTGATTGCAGTAATTGGCCTGGAGTGACGGTTAAAGTTAAAAGGGCGACTGGAGAACGTGGAGATCGCTCTGCCAGGGAGAGAAACC